CGGTCTAAATATTAAATATGAAATCACAGCTGTCTGGGTTTATTGTCTATTACAGAAGTATTTAATGAAAAAGGAAGCTTTAACAATGAGTGATAAAAATTCACATCCATATATTTGTCTTTCTCCCAAAGGCTTAGGAGGATTGTTCTTGCCAGCTCCTTCCAGTCAGAGTTGGCACACTTCTCTATAAAATAATGCTGTCCTAATACACACACACTGTCCTGTCACACACATGCAAGCACACACTAACACGGAGAACTTTAACAAGCATCTGAGCAGTAAACTTAATTATGTTCCAAATTTCCCTCATCACCACATGGAGGAGCTTTATGTTTTTTTGTTTTACACTTCATTTACTGAATGCTGCTGGCTATGGTTCCAGTTATATAAAAGCCTGAATAAGTTTTGCAGTTCATAAAACCATACTTCCAGCTTTCACTAAAGATACACAGAAGGAAGACAGTGAAGAGATGTAAGGGTTAATTAGTATCTTCATATGTCAATGCCTATAGGCATGTTACCCCCTTGGCCTCTTGAGAGCTTTATCATAGTGAAACACTGCATGCTAAGCTACGACAACTTCAGCCAAACTCAGTCAATACTCATCTTGTAACGGGTCTAAGCACCCGTGTTCATCACTCAGATATCTGCAAATCTAATCAAGATTATAACAATATTATATCTGATATATAAGAGGAATACTAGCTGTCATCAATGTTAAAATGAACATGTTTACAGGCACGTACAAAAAATGAATCTTGTCTTGTAATGGTACAGACTGTATGGGGGTTGAACTTATTTTTATAACTCATCCATTTTGAAGGATAAGAGTTATGCATTATTAGGGGCATGGCTGATATGACTGACAAGCGAGCTGGTTCTAGGTGTTTGCCTGGAAGTGACATAGTCAAGCACAGCAGTTTTCCAAAAGTTGAACTCTTGTCGCCGGTAGCCTAGAGGTTAATGTACGTGGCTCATGTGCGGAGGCTGTAGTCCTCCAAGTGGGCGCTCGGATTCAAATCTGACCTGTGGCTCCTTTCCGTTGTTCCCCACTCTCTCTGACCCTGATTTCTAACTCTATCCACTGTCCTACCTCATCGATAAAGGCATCAAAAGCCCAAAACTAAATCTTGAACTCTTTTTAACTGAGAGCAATGTGAGCTCAGTGACAAAAGAAAGTGGACATAGTCCCTAACCATTAAGGTTATGTTGACCTTAACACTTGAGAACCTCAGAAGAAGACCATTCCCTATAGGGGCCTGCATCTAAAGAACATGTGTCCAACTCTGCTGCTCAGGACAGTAAACGGACTGCATCCTGTCAGTCACTGTCTGGAGCTCACACAGCTAGTAACAGAATGGATGAGATTTTATGGAGTGAAGCAACTTTGCACTTTTTTCTGCTTTACCCTCTTGATTTTCATTCTTTGAAAAATAAATTAGTTTTTGTGTTCATATCTTGGTTTGATATCAACATGAAAACAGAAATCTCTTCACAAGAGTCTTCCTCCTGCTCCTCTTGTATTGCTCTAACCCCGTGACACTGCTTACCTTACATAAGTTGTAGGACTTCTTCCAGCAGATGAAAACCGTTACAGATACAAGGTGTAATGACCACCATAAGGAGCTACATACACTCCAACTATGTGCTAAACATGTAAAAGGACACATCATGTCAATGATTTTAACTTCCTGACATTGTTCATGTTTCATTAGCAAGATATACATTTAATAATATCTTCATTACTTCCTACATTCATCTCTAAAATAATAACAAAAAAGTAATACTGTGGACCCCTGGCCTGGGATAAAAAAGTTATGATTCTTCTTTAGAAAGTAATCAGGTCTTTCGTTTTATTTAAGAGATTTTGAAGTTAAAAGATTTACACTCCAGTAAGCAAGAGGCAATCAATTTTATACCCTAATGCTTCACTCAACAATAGATCAGGGGCAAATTGCCAAGTGGAAATATATAAAAACATAGAATTCTGGGTGTTTCTCCTGGGAGCTGTGTGCCCAGAACAATGGAGGGAATCGCTCGTGAAGCAATTCACTCTTTCTTCTATCCGGCAAAGAAACTGTACAAAGAAAAGGAGATTAAAAATGGCAAAGCTATAGTGCCATTAGAGAAAAAAAATGACAAAATTGAAAGTTTAATGTGACACAAGTCCTAATGTTATTTGCTTGAAAAACTGATTACGTATTTAGGTGAAATGATCCAGAAAACCTAATGAACTATTTGGATTTGTGGCGACAGTGCTCTGAAATAATTCTCACCCTGCTAAACAGTTATGACTTGCTGATGGGCTCTAAATAGAGTGCGTCAGGCCTATTCATCTTGACCCCCCCCCCATCATTTCCTGAAAGCTTCAGGCCACATTGATTAACTTCAACAATAGCCTTGTTCAAACACAGTCTGAGTAATGAAGGGGATGACTTCGAGCCAAAGTAATTGCATAAATTCAAAGCAAAGCACTTTTGAGCAGAAATTTTGTCTCTAAATTAATTAAACTCAACATCGAATACTCACTTTGATGGCAGTTCAAAAAAAAAATCTGTTTCATTTTTACTCATATAGGCTATTATGGAGCCAGTGAGCCAAATGATGTAAATGATGTGGGAGGGGGAAATCAAAGATAAAGTTAGGAGAATCTGTTAGTTTTGGCCCTATGGATGGTTCATTGCATAGAAAAATTCAACATTTAGACCTTCCAGAGAGGAACGTTCTTTTTTTTCAATTTAGTCCTTTGCACTTTAATACATTTGCTGCAAGTGATTTGAGCGCTCCAGTACTTTCTTTGGATTGTACCTGTTTGAAGGAGTCCTTTTAATTACTTTTGATGTCTTTGGTCCTTTTCTGAGAGCACCGACCTTCATCTGTGGAGGGGCTGAAGCACAAGAGTGTCCTTCTACTCAGAAATTCTGTAACATTTAATTCAATAAAAGCATTCATGTTAACCAAAGGATACAAATTCTAGACTTCGGTATAAGTTCACAGTTTTCACATCTTTGTTTTCTGGTATTAGGCTAAGTGGGAGAGTTGGTCGTCTCTCAAGTGGAAGTGGAACACTTATGGACCCTAAACACAGCAGCCTCTGCCATCGGTGTATGAATGTAATGTGAATGGGTAAGTGTGAACTAAGTGCTTTGAGCAGTCAGAAGACTAGAAAAGAATGATAAAAGCTTAAGTGCACTTACCAGTCAGTATTGAAAAATTGAGACCTGGAAACACCAAGACTAAAACCATATGATGTCAGAATACAAGGAAAAGAACATCCATATATACCTGACTCCCGCTTTGAAGCCCTGGGTAACCTAAGCGAAATGCAAAGTAAATTAGCAGTCGGCACTGATTATCGCCCCTCGAGTCTGATGACTATTTTAAATCTTTACACCCCATGACAACATTTACACCCAGAGTCACATTCATACACTGCTGGTGAAGACTTTTCTGTGTGAGTTGCCAACCTGCTCTTCAGGATCCATTACTCATCCACGCTCTGAAGGCTATGCCAGTGGGAGACATTTGGAGTTAGTTTTAACACTTCAACACGCAGACTGTAGGAGTTCAGGTTTGAACCACTCGATCTTCTGACTCTTGGTCGATCAGCCCTAACTACTGAGCCACAGCCACGCAAAACCTAGCATCATCACAGAGCACATATAATCCACAACAGGAGTAAAATGAAAGCATTCACCACATTAGCAGTGATAATACATTCACTCTGTTTACAGTTCTGTTAGTTTACACTTTGCCAAATACTGAAATATGTATATATTTATGTCTGCTTAATTCTGTCCCATGTTTCACGTACTTTTTAATATTTTCTAAATGCTGCTTCTTGTCTGTGCTGCATGGTTCATGTTTCTTACTGTGGCTACATTTCTTCTTTCTGCAATACTGTCGTGCTGTTTCCATTTGTAGTTTTTAGCAATGTTTAATTGTAAGGTGTTGTGCGCACCCTAATTACTGTCTTTATTTTGTTCATTTTAGGGAGGCTATTCTAAAATCTTGCCAGGGACTACAGATGTAATCTAGCCTTTTGGCTAACTCTGGCATATTTACAGAAATGATTATGCATCATCCCTGCAAAATAAAAATAAAAACATATTTTTTTGGAAGATGTGTGTAAAGCAGCAGGTTTCTCTTCATTACCATCAGTCACCAGTGAGCTAAATGATCATCCCTGTCATATTTAGTTTTGCTCTTTTAGAAACCGTTGCATCCATTATACAATAGCTGAAGCTGTAATCATAAGCCATTTAGTGTGACGATGAAGCATCCCATTGACCCGTCCTTTCTATCATGGAGCGCTGGCCTGCATTAGCCTCTCTGCATCTGTAAACATTAACCTTTGCTGGTATTATTACATGCTAATCCAGTTAGCTGGCCTTCCACGGACGTCCGCCCTCTCGATTTGCTTCCTCATTTGCTTGCTCTCTCGCTCTCTCTCATGCTCTCTCCGTCTACATTTCAGCATGCAGGTCATTGGTTTGGAGCTCAGAAAGTCATCATTTGATAGCCACTGGGCCGTGCCTATCTACTGCAGGGTCATAACACAATATTATTCTGAGTTATCTTCCCTGGATCCATCAATCTATAGGAGTCTCACTCACAAATTCATTACCAACATAATGAATGAGTTGATCCTTGGTTCTCCTTTTGTAAAGAAAAACAAAAACCCATTTTTGTAAGTTAATGACATCTTGTGCTCTGTGTGTTTTTATTATTTTGATTTCAATGATTGAGCCAGACACCACAGGAGTGTAGACAACGCAATATTTCAGTCTGCTCTAATTTCAGTCAGTATTTACCCAGATAAGACGTGTTATTAGTTAAGTTCACCATATGGATAAGAGTGTGTGAGTGAGTATGTGTGTGCGATCGGGTGGGGAAATAAGCCACAAGAACATGAAGGAAAAAAAATGGCTACTTTAGTAACATGCAGCACATAACTCTTCATTAAAATACAAGGTCAGGTTCAGCAAAGGTACAGAACATCATAATGTCTAACTAGTTATTCAGTATCATATATTTTAAGCGTTCACCAACTGAGTGAACAAAGAAAGAAAGTTCAATCAAATAGTATTACAACATTCAAATGTGGATGCCCTGTGCACAGCACTGTCAGTCCTTAATCTCGGTGCAGGTGATGGCAGGAAACATCAGCTTGACAGAAAATGAGAAGAGTCACCGCACACAGGAGGGCTGCATCTTTTTATTTAGTCTACATATTTAAACAAACAACGTGCTTCGCTCATGGCTCTATCAGGTTTGCTACACAAGACAACCCACAGGTGATTTTAACAAGGATGCAGCTGCACTGAATCCACTCAGCAGCAGCAGAGTGATGAGTACTTTCCATGTAAGTGAAAACAAAGAAAAAGACTGCTCACACCCAGCAGGGCTCCAATATACCAGAAAATTAATTCACCAGGGTATAGTAAGGTTTTGAGCATATGCTGCACGGTTTAGAATAGAAATGTTCAACAGAATAAGACTGGGTCTGGATAGGACCGCACCTTGGTCCAAAGTCAGATCAGAGTCGACCATTTGGTGATGGCCGCTCTAAATCATTTCTAACTAGAGCAGTGGTGTAGTAATATTTCATGTATACAACCTTTGTAATTATTCATGCAAATACAATTACAATGAAGCTTACACTGTTAGTACAAAGTACTTTAGAGTCTTTAGCTCCAGAGTTTTCCTGCTCTGATGCAGATGTTCACCTCCTCTCACAGAGCTCAGTAGATCTATGAGCTCATGGTTTACCTCACTATCATCAGGGGTTTATAGACTGCATTTAAAATGTTTTCAAAAAGTCTTGTTATACTTATTGGTTACCTATGTTATCGACATAGATATGAAGCCAATAATCTTTGTTCAGGATGATGGTCACAACTCAAAAAGCTACAAAAACTTCCAAAAGTCAATCACATTAACCCTCGAAAGTCTGGAAATTCACTTCAGAGTTCTGTTTAAAAAAGAATCCTGGCCCTCAGAGAGAGCACATTACAAAAACTATAAAATGCCAACACTTTACATATAACAACGGCAATTATACTGCATTTTTATTTATGACTTATCCGTCTCAAACTATTGTTCAAAGGCAACAACATTACCATTTGAATCCATTACAAACATTGCGCTAGTGTTTAATCATTGTAATCCTGCCTTTCTGCAAATAACAGTGTACATACATATACAGTATACAACATGGATTACTCCATGGGGAATAACAATAATAATGGCTAATTATATTATTCTACACAACAAACATTAACAACATTCATAATCAGCCATTTAGTTGATGATTAACTATTTTACTCAAGGAATGATTAATTATTTACAAAATAATCTTTCACATTTTGAGAGAATAAACTTTTGGACAGTATCGAGGAAGATAACGACACCGGTCTAGCAAAGTGTAAGTATGACAGAGTTTGTATACCTGGTTGTTATTGGGTCAGTGCTCCCTGGTGCCCCTCTCTCCTTCACATCTGTCTGAGCTTTCTTCAAATCACCCTGTCTGTCATTGTCCTCAGCTGGCTTCTTCTTCAGCTTCGACTGCGGTCTTTTTTACTTTTACAACATAATACACCTATGAAAAAGGCACATTAAACAGACCTTACTATTACAGGGCAGCTTGTTGTAAATGGCTGGTGACAGCCTCGGTCTGTGAGGGCACTTATGTACAGTAATGAGCCGTGTGAGAACACCTATAACATGGAACAAATGCTCAGTCGGCATTATGCATATGTGTCACTAATTTCTAATAAATAAAAGTTACTCAAAATAAAATGGAACATCAACAGGTTTGGTGTAATGAAACAAGGCATCCTTGTGTGCAACCTCAACAATGTATCCAAGGGTATTAACGTAATATTGGGTTTTTGAATGAAGCATAGCAAAAAGGTTAAGCTCACGTAAGCTGTCACAACTATTGTGTTCTGCAAAAAATCTCCCCAAAAGCCATTTTCCACTGGGGTGGCACAGAGGGAAAAGGCTGCAGTCCATGGCTGGCCACAGCCACCACTTGCCTGTATTTGTGTTAGGCCTAAATAGCCTAGTTCATCAACCATATCATGTCTGAAAAAGGTGAGCAATTGGAAGAGGATTTTCAAATGTGACAAGACCTCTCCAGAGATTAAAGTATTTGTACCATGTGGCATCTTTTTTTTTAACTCATCACATAATTAATTATATGACCCTTTACGAGATGCATGTTTTGCATTTCAATTTCTTAGTTTTGCCTTTTGATTTTTTTTTGTCTTTACATGTAATGAGTAAAAGGTAAAGTAACTTTTTGTTCTTGTAGGTGGATTTAATTTACAGTAAGTGAGTCAGGCCTCCTTTAACATACAAACAACAGCACAGGACAAAACATGCAAAAGTGAATAGCCCTAAGTAAAAACAAGATAAAGTAAACAATCAGTAAGAATAAGAAATACAAGATAAAAAAATAAGACTATACCATTGATCCATTAAAAGCAAAATAATAATATACCACCAATCAATAAAACATGGTTGGTAAAAAAACAAGAAATTATCTGTAAAAACAAGATAAAGTAAAGACAAGATCAAATGTGCAGAGATAATTAATACTACTACAATTGTTCCTAAAGCATTGTTGCCATTTAATTTTCTTGTTCGATGCGTACATTTGACATAAATTAACTGATCATCATATAAAATAAATGCTTTTTTTAAAAGCAATTGGAACAACCTCCTTCAGGCTGTTGAATGTGTAAAGAATTAAACCCAGGAACTGCCATATGAGGAAAAACAAGGTACTGTCCAGATTACTAAAAATATGCATTTAAACACATGGCATATGGCAAAAATAAGACTTACTTCTTTCAAGCACAAAGTCCAACACTGCAAATGAAACTTGTTCCAACATTGAAGTCCAGGGAGAAACAGGGAAAAACATAAATAACAAGAGCTTAGAAAAATCCACACAAGTAACACGGAGATGTTTTGATAAAGAATCCACAATTACACAAGAGGTAGGTAGAAATATGAAATTAAAACATGGGGTAATCAAACACAGGTAAGGGAGACAAGACTCAGGTGAGAACAATGAAGGCAATCAAAAAGGGAGGGAAACACACAAAGGGAGGAAGAACTACAAAATAAAACAGGAAGCACTAAAAGATAAACTTGAAATAATACTATTTTTAAGAGAGTTTTTTTAATAAGAGAAAGAAGTAACCCCAAGGTGAAAATTCAGAAAAAGAATTAAAAAACTGGAAAGGAAATCTAAACACTGAAATAAAGTACACAACTAAACAGGAACAAATCAGGAGAGGAACTGTGGAAAAAAATACAAATGTTGTCCGGAAGAAGTGTTGGGATTATCAATACAAATTAGGATCAGCAAATAGGGGTCTAAAAATGGTGCTATGGTCAACATGATTTAGGAAGCAAGTGGCTTAGTCACTCACTTTGTCAAGTGTGACCCCATTTCCCATCCTCTTTCCCTTTGTCGTTGAAGTTGAAGTTGAAGCCTCCCTCCCTCCGCTGAGTGGATTTAGTCCTCTCATTCACTCACTCACTCCGAGATCAAAATCAATTCTCTCCCACAGAGCTGCAATCAATAGCTCGCTTTTCTCTACGGAGTCTGAGAGGGCTACAGAGAGCTCTCATTATCTGTGTTTGCAAAAGTTCTCTCTCTCTCTGATGGTTGTACATCTTGATTGACTGAAACTATTACCATAATTTGCTGCCCATCTACGCTGGTAAAAAAAATCAAGCTGGTTTTATTCTGAAGTGCAAACCGCCCGACGCTCTTTGTTTACCTCAGGTTTCTCCTGTCTTTCAAAGCCATCTCCTGCATCTCCCGTTTAGTTATTTCTCACAATTTTCGAGTCCAACAACCTCATTTAAACGATCCAGAAACACAGAACCATACAATTTCTGTTTGTCTGACCTACTTTGCCAGATCATCTATGAATCACGATAAACACAAACACCATCCACAACTACATTTTTAAACCCGTCTAAAAGCTGGATGAAGGAGGAGGCTTGCCAGGAAAGGAGAGTGTTCCGTTTTCATTTTTTGTCTGCACGTCATGGTGATCCAATATTAGGGCTTTCACACTTGCAGAAAACTCCTGAAAACTCCTGATATGTCCAGGAGGAGCTGTATGTGTGAATGCAAACAGCTGAATATTTCGACCAGACTTCACCCAGCTCACGAGTATTTTTTTCTGCAGCAAGTCAGAAATCAGAGTGAGCTGATGTGACAAAAACATAACCTGCACTCTAATCAAAAAGAAGCAGCAAATTGCTGTCCATGATTTCTTTGACTACTGACCATTTTGATTTAATTCTGTTTTTTTTTAATACGTCTTGTTTTAAATGTGTGTGTGTGTGTGTGTGTGTGTGCGTGTGCATGTGTGTGTGTGTGTGTGTGTGTGTTAGAAAATGAATCCATTACTTAACTTCAGGTACATGGCCTCCAGTATTCCTTTCATTATAAGTAATTTTAATTTGCTTTTTTCTTTGAACAAGAATGATTTAATTCTGCTTCATTCTCCCCTGTAGATATGTCTGTTTAGTTCAGCATTCATATTTCAGAAAATCATTGAGAACAAAACTCTAATTATCAGTCTGGAGAATTTTAATGGAATAAACTTATAGAGACTTTTAAGTCCTCAAAAGTGGAGTTTTACAATCAGATTCACAGTGCTGTCTTAAGTCCCTAGCAAATGAATGCTCTAATTATGTCCCCTTTCTGCTGTGAAGAAAGTCTAACCAGTCTATTTAAGGCCTGGGAGTTTTATCTCAGTCAAACAGACATTACACAATGATGCAACAGAGAACAAGCGGCAGTCTTTTAATGTCAGTGTAAAGAACTGACGTACCCACCTGCCCCTCAGATGTTACATTATTAATATAGATGTTTCGCATAAGAGAGCCTATGTGGGTGTTTTAATGAAATATGAGTGGAGAAAAAAGACAGGCCACAAAGAACAGAGAGGAAGGAGCTGCTGTCAAGCTCGACTTAACACAGAGACAGTTCATTAAGACCCTTAGAGGAAGCACGTGGCCTTGAATTAATCAGGACTCATAACTTTACAAAAAAAACAACAACAAAAAAAACTTGAGTTGATTTTCATCTTTTCACTTTGAATCTGTAGCCTACATGTTCATTTTTCCATCAGCAAATCACTTGCTCAGCCACTGTTCCCGTTTTGTTTCTTTCTCACTCACTGTGTGTGTTTATTCATTGCTCATCCGCCCAGTGTAAACGGATTTCTCCGCCATCATCCTGTCACCTCGAGTTTGAGCTGACAGCTTTATGTGAGATAGCCCAAAAGTTAGTGTCACAGCCGATCAACTGTAACGTAAGGTTTGGCAGCACACGTCTGTCTCTGTGACGATGTAAAATGGATCTGACTTTGGGTTGTTTAAAAGAAGAATATTGAAAAAATAAGGGGGGGAAGTAAACAGATACAGAATCCAGAAAAAATATATGACCAATGCTGAAAGATTTATGGGATTTTTATATGTTGAACAACACTAAAGCTATGTTGAGGATATGTTGGAAAGCTCATTAGTATATTCGCATCATATGATAACAAGATCATGTGAGGTTAAAACAACAGTGAAAAACATATATTATGAAATAATGTTCATTTATTTGTTGAAAAAATAACCCATGGTTTCAATTTAAAGGAGCAATATGTAAGATACTTACTGAATTTAATCGTTTAATGAACTTCCTATATCGTCAAACATTAAGGAAACATGCTATGTGCTGGCTTCAACATAGAAGGTATGCGGTTTTATCTCCCCCTCTGTAACGGCAAACCAACAGGTGTTGCAGCGATGGAAGCGAGCAAGAGAACTGGTTCAGATAGAGGTGATTCTACCCGACCTAAAAAGCCTCTGCATGTTTCTAATAAACTCCACGAGCAGAAATGTGCTAAAACTAGGATCAATATTGGAAATGCTTTTGAAAAACGGAGAGAGGTTAGAATGCAGAAATGTTATACGACTGATGCAGAGCTGGCTAAACACTGAAGCTTCCATGTCTGTGTCATGGCAACCTGCATGAGCATCGACTCGAAGGAGGAGGAGGAGACTGAAAGCGCCAATCTTTTTAATTCTGGACTTTAAACACTAGGTGTCAGAGTTACATATTTGTCCTTTAATCATTATTTTCATTAATTTGATATGGCAACACCGACCTTTCCCAGTGAATATAAAGATCATAGCAGTATATAGCATGTCAAACAGCGTAATTGTTTCAACATTTGTCTCCAAAACAGATTTTTATCTCTCAGCACATCATGAGGGAGCCTAAACAGCTGCTGTGGAGAAGAAGACAGATAGAGATGTGAAACAGATCTGTTTCTAAACATACGTTGCCTTGCTTTTTAAACATGAATCTAGAAGTCAGTTAGCATGTCCTGCAAATGATGTTATTAGTTTCTTGAACTCTGTTTCTAATCTCTAGATCTACAGGTGTTTGATAAACTAACGTTTTTTGAAAAGTCTTAAGTTTGAGCAGCACATTGGGTGTGTTTAACTTATTACAATTCAAGCAGCACTGCTGAACTACATTTCAAAGTTATCCGTTAAAAACTAGAATTATGTTGCCCACCCCATGTACAGAGGCTAAAGTGTTTGAAGCGGGCGGCCTCACTGCCTGTTGTCAAGTGCTCTCTCATCCCTGTGTCCGACCTTATCCACTGTCCTTCTCTACATTAAAGGCAAAAAAGCCCTAAAATAATCTGTGAAAAAAAGCCTGTTGTTGAGCCATTTTCTAAAATCCATGAATTTAAAATACTGTAATGTGCTTAATAATGTAAAGTCAGTCGCATTCCATCTTTGAGTTGGATGAATGTCGGTACAAATTTTAATTGCAATCAATCCAATAGTTTATGAGACATTTAAGAACCAAAGTGGTAAAACTACATACACAGTATATACTATTTTCTATTCATTTCTGTGTCTCTATATTCATGTCTATAACAAATGCAATAAAATTGCCAATCACAAAAGAGCACTTAAGTTGTAAATCAACGTCCTAAAAAAGTGAACTTTGAGAGAAACAGGATTAATTTCATGAAATCACAGAGCAGAGATTTGCCTGACCTCCCCTTCTTCCCCTCTGCTCTCCGTCCTCAAACACTCCCACTTTCACCAGCTTCCTGCCAGCACAGTCCTTCAGCGAGAGGAATGTCCACTCTGCAGTTATGTGGGCTGATATGGCTGTGCAACGATTTTTATTGGTCCAATAACGCTGCGGCTTAATAAGTGTAATCTGTCCACTAGCCCAAAGGTTAAAGCCTGGCAATACATCAGTGTCCCAGTGCTATATTGCTGATCTGTAATTGCCTCGCTGGTGGCTTAATTGTTGAGGTGTACGTGGAGATCATTTGGAAATGATCCATCACTTAGTACTGTAATAATGAGTTTCCAATGGTTGGCTGGGCGGAAGCAGCCTCCCCCGCTCCCCACAGAGGGAGTTGTTGAACCACAGCGCTGCACTGTGTGCCGAGGCGCAGCAGAGTGGAATCTGAAGAGTGAGACTGTATGTGTGAAGGGGATTGTAGGGAGGGTGTCTATGTGTATGTGAGTATTACTCACTGCACCACTCTTAATCAATCCTGCCTTATCCCTTAGTGTCCTCCAATTTGTAAGAACAAACCTGCATTGCATAGAAATCAAGACACCGCCTGGTGTATATATCCATGAAGCTGCATCGCTCTATATGATTATGAAAAGAAACTCAACTGAGTCTTTTCTTGCTCAGAATTTCTGCGTCTTGCTGCTGACAAATAAAACCAAAGTGGCTCCGTGTGTAAAAAAAAAAAAAAAGGGACAGCCACTTTAGGCATCCTGCCTCCGGGATGCAGCTAAAGACCATTTCTGAGCAGATGCTGGCCCTCTTTAAACACCGGCAAACATCAGTGGACACACACGGCACTCCAATTTGCAATTTTCACGTTTGAAATGTCAGCCCGCCGTTGATTATGCAGTCTGCTTTGCCATTAAAGCACTGTCTCAAAAG